GCTTGTCACAGGTTCATGCAGCTGTTTACTGATACGTTTATTCATTCTGTAGACATTTTCCACTTCCGTACGATATTAAGAAATCAGTTCATCAATTTTTACCATATCTCCAAAACGTGAATGATTCAGCAGCCCCGATCCCAATTTTCAATAAATCCCAACCGATTTTTGAATAATTTTTATTGCTGCTGCAAATGTATTTGCATTTGCTCCTTTTTTTGCGCTTTTTCAAATTATTAGCCAAGAAATAATCAAAAATAATTTGATATGGCTTTCTTTTTTTTCCAAAATACACATCGCCAATTGTTGCAACAAAAAATATTCAAATTGACACAGTCATTTTTACTGTTATTTTAGTGCTTTTCAAGTATGCCAAAATTTTGAGATCGTAATCAATCACCAAAGATCTATTAAAGTAACCTGTTTCATACATAAAAGTGAAAATATCTACGTTTTGGAACACCACTTAAGTCACAAGTTTCTTTTTTGTCTTATTTTATTCTGTCAGTCATGGAAAAAAGAAATGCAATTTGTAAATGACTGCATAAACTGATGTACAATCATGTCCTGTTATATCCACCAGGAAAACGAGAATAACAGCACTAAAATGCTTACAGAATACATCAGGAAATTTTGCTAGTAGCCTACAAATCTATCTTTTAAAATCTCAAAAATGTTTACCATTGTATTCCGATGCACATTATCAACTACTAGATAATAACCAATATAATTCACTAACGTCATATCCTGAACAAACTCTATGAAACTAAACGGTTAATCAGCTAAGTTAAACAATCCCTAAGTTGTACGTTATATGTAGTTGGATCTTGAAATCATCAAGTAAACACCTACAAAAATAAGCTTACTTTTAGTTTTTATGCAGTAATTGAGGTTATTTATAATACTTCAAAAACAATCATACCTTACAGCATCTAAATTATCATTGTTCTTAATAGCAGTGAAAGACTTTTCTATCGATTTACTTAAGTATTATATATCTCCACTGTTTAAGCAACAAATCATGATACGCTTAAATTTCCTTAATAATAACAAACAATCTACCAATAAATGAGCTTGAATTTTAACCTATTCTATGGCTTTATTATGTTGGCTGAACAACTTGAACGGCGAATAGAGTTTCTTCTCAGCTTATCAGACTTAGAAAGCGAAATCTTGTTTAACATCTGTTTCTCAATTTTGTTTACAGATAATGAGTTGATCTGTTGTAATTCTAAACATATACGTGTAAAACACAGAGTTATCAAAAATGACCGAGGTTACCTTTTAGCCCAATGAGTTCACTGACTGAATGGCAAACAAAAAGAGAACAGACGACTAAATTTATTCTCAGGACTATACGTTTTAGTAGAAATTGGTTAGACAATAAGATTCAGTTTTATAATTTTGTAGACATGCAAAACAAACGTATCAGTAGTGAAATTAGTATGAATCGAATTAGTAAAGAGATGGTCATTATATTCAATAAAAAAAATAAACATCGTTTACTTGTTTGTTGTAGAAAAAAACCCAAAGCATCGTTTAATAAAAAGAAATAGGTAATCCTTACGAAGGATTTGAAGAAACTGTGTAGAAATAAAATCATTTGTTTTATGAAGTAAATAATTTTACTGTTTGTGAGTGACAAGTCCATTCTAATATCGTTATCACAAATTGTTGAAGAGAATGAATGAAATTTCAATAACTAAATATTTTCAAACCAAATAAAAATAAGATTTGGATCTATACAGATACCAACAAGGTAACAATATATTCATAAGAATCGAGAATGTTACCAATTCACCAAATGCTCTTTGTCTTATAACCACTGCATCACATCCAATGCGTACGAAAGTTAGACAAGATTTAAAGGCTAGAATTTACTACTAAACTTTGCTAGCTGAAGTAAAGTGGCTGCTTTCGCCATTTCAAGATCAGTTACTCCTGAGCTTTCATAATGCTTTTAAGAACGAAAATTGAATTTGCATAACTAATCACACAAATATAAACTACTGAAGCATTAGAATGATTTATTTCCTAAAACATGCAAACAAGTATGGTTATGGTTTTGTTTTAATGAATTTATTGAGCTGGTGTTTCATTTCACCACACTAAAGTTATGCTGATTTTGGTGCTAGATCATTAAATTCTTTCTCCGAGCTGTTCAGCTCTGTGAACGTTTCACTGCTTTCCGTACAGGATTGTTACATTAAAGGTCAACATGTGCTTTACTCATGTATCATCGACAGTGTGCATCAATCTACGTATATCTTACAAATCAGATCACTGATAACGAAGAGAGAAAGGCCTACTTTAAATTCCTTGAATATGTTCCAAAAAATCTGAGCTAAATGCGATTCAGAGTATTTAACAGTATGATCTCTAGATACTGCATTTATATAAAACATCTGAGACATATCTTTTTTCAAGGCGAGTGATAAACAACAAACTTGCGACCTTCTCAAATGTTTTTGAACTATGAAATGCTTCAAACGTGATTTATTTATTCACGCCTGGATTACATTACTATTTATACAATTAAGTTGAAAATTGGTTAAACGAATAATAGATTTAAAAACATTTGGAAATCATTTTTAAGAACAAGGAGGATAGTGGACTGATTATCTGTGATTTTTTTTAGAAACACTTGTATTCCATAAGTTTTTCATTCTCAATTCTACATGAAGTGCATAAGTTTGGGCCCGCATTCTACCCCTCTATGGAAGTATCCAATTCTTTTTATCATCGAATCGCTCAATGGTTGGAGGATGTATTTGAGGTAGTTAAAAGGCAAGTATCACTTTATTATGTTATGTGGAAGTAGTTAGTTTCCTGATACTTCTGCTATAGTTATTACATTATTTTATTTTAGTCTAATTAGTATAATTATATCCTTGACAAAGCTCTGTTCTGTCTGCAATTAAATCAATCCATTTAAAAGCGAATTAAAATTACCATGTGATTTTCGTAGACGATGGTTCAGAACTTGGATATACAGTTCAGTGTTAATAGCAAAATGAAAACAAATAATAAAATGGAGAAGAAATAATTTACCTATTTGTCAAGCCTATGAAAGACTGGTTTATGTTCAAATATAAGATCAGTCGGTGTTACTCAATCAATAAAAGCTTTGATATTTTGATTAAATATTTGTATAATACATTTGTCATCCATAATGAAAACATGAACCAATTCGACGTTTTCATTAGTTCAACACTTGCTATTTATACTTAGAATTTAGTTGTTTTTTTAAATAGATCTTATTTTTTGATGTGCTTTTTATGGTGAATGTTGATGAATACTTTAAAAGATCTATCTAGAGAAATCAATCATGAAATTTTCAGTTAAACAACTTTTCTAGCTAGATACCTTTAAACAAACCAATAGGGTTATTCAATCTTTGTTTTTAAATATCCTTGGTACAAAGAGTATCAATGAAGAAATAGTTTTTTTTAAAACTGTAGATTGAAAAAAATCAAAGCAGCTATTATATAGAGTTAACAAAATCATAAACTAAAAGTTTAAAATATTACTATAAACGTAGTATTGTAGTAAATGATAAGAATAGTCTTGTTAGCATAACTTCATATCAACTAATATGCATTCAGTCTATAGATCAGTAAGTGTAGACAATTTTAGTGGCTAGGATCATTGACAATTGAAATCTCTGGTAAGCAAATCGTTTGTTCAATAAGTTCAAATAAATCAAGTCTATGAGTGGTAACTAACATTGAACATTGTAGATTATTAGACTTCTTTAATACTCATCTATTTAACATAGATTAAAATGTATAATAAATTAAAGACCTCAGTTGAATGACTGGTTGGTAAAATTTAGGTCAGTAACTATATTTAGAAAGTATAACGGTGATTCTTCTCTCACGATTAAATAATTCGAATTTTTATATCATTAATTTACGAAAGAAATCTGTAAACTGTTTATTTTATTTGTTCATTTTGCCAATAGTTTTATTCTAACTAACAGATTGAAAGGATCATTATTTTCTTTATAACTTTTATTCCCCTCCTCGGAAAATTATACGTTGTTAGATAATATTATTTCATCTAAAAAATCTGGGTATAAACAACAAGATAGATATAATAAAATCAGCTGACTAATGTGCCTCCTATAAACTAATTGGTCTGAGTTTAGTGACTGATCTCATGAGCGATTTGTGGGTTCACCCATTTCATCAATTCTAGTAGTTTTCTTAATCCATAAATCCATTACATGAGATTTTTTAGTAACGAATACCTTTAAAAAATTAACTATTTTTAAAGTTAGGTCTGTTTAGCTCCTTCCTGATCTTAACTAAAGACCTTAGTTTACTGTTTTTCAGAGATGAAACTAAACCAGTCAAGAAGCAAAAATCCTAGCTCTCAATTCTCACTTATTTCTAACATAGACCAATCACTTAAAGTCATATGAGAACAATCGTTCTTATTCTCAGACGTGCATGATATTAAGATCATTTCAAAAGTACTCAAGGCACCTGTATATCACAAACTTATAACAAATCGACTCACCAATATAATTTCTTCTTTATTCGTCTTTCATTAAGTCTGTAGTTTTTGTCGAATATCAAACATGACTAGTTTCGTTTTGAACTCCGACCTAAGGTAACCATTCGATGTCAGTACATAGTGCAATGTTTCAAAGTAGAGAATAGTTTTAAGAGTTCAATGGACAAAATATGAAAGTTTCCCCTATTGAATTTCCTTCTACTGCTTCATCATTTCCAACGTATAGTTGATTTAGTGGTTATGATAATAAGAATTCTCACTACATTGTTATGCTTACTCACTTGTTTAGTTACCTGTACCAAAAAAAAATGGCACATCAACCTTTCGATTTCTATTCATCCAATCAGATTACAGAAAAGAGCTTAATCCACTCAGGATTCTATCCATTTGGTCATATTGACAGATTTTATATCAAGGAAAATAGCTAAACACGATTGGTTTATACTTAAACATGTTACTAGATAGTGGTAATAATTATCTTCTAACAGTATGATAACTAAATCGGCCTATATACTGCTTGTAATAATTAAATTTAAATTGTATACATACGTTTATATTCTTCATTTTAAAACTGTTGCGAAAGAGATATAACGACATATTACTAATTCTGATTTATATAGCGGTTGGAATTTTCGAAATAAAATTTAGTTATTTGAATTGCGTAGTCATCTATACTTCCGGGTAAAAGTTTAACATGTCAGATACATTATATAAAACCACTGGGATACTATTTTCTACGGTGATTTTATTGTCCTTCAGGAATGGTAAGTTACCGTATGGTTTCTTATTTACTCACAATCGTTTTAAATATTCATAACAGTGAATATCGACGCTTTGGATAAATATCAGTTTTGGATTTGTTTTATTTTATAATAAGGTTTTCTATTCTAGACTTCTGATTTTATTATTCTTCTATTAACAACTAAAAATATGATGTGATCTAGCACTTAAGTGAATACTGATGAACACGAATATTTAAATTTTCTATTTTAAGTTCTATAATGACTACAATTTCACAGTTTATCTTTTCAGCATATATAAAGTACCATTAATATAATTACTCATGAAATAACAGGTTTCAGTCAAGCAACAACAATTATCCCATAGGAGGAACATTAATTTACTTATTTACTGGATTCTTCTAAAGGGTTTACAATCTAAAAATAAATACACTTCAACTATAGAAACAAGTGTATATCCTTTGTGTAAAATTTACAGGAAAGTCGAAATTAAGAATAAGTCTAACTTGTACATAGATTTATAAAAAGACAATAATTGTGAGAGAATCAAAAGGTCGTTTATACAGTTATCTATTTATTAATTAACCGTATGAATGTTTTTAAGGAAAAAACCAAGAGCATGGATGAGGGTTTCTACAAATGGAAACTAGTGTTGTACGCTAAATAATAGCAAGAACACTGGATATTGATTAGCTGAGAAAAGATCAAATAGGGAGCGAGAGTGAAGAAAAATATTGATATTGATATTGAAGACATAAATTCCCATCTTGTCATAAATTAATCAAAAGTGAGGTCACCACAGCAAAACAATTTTGACAATGATATATTTTGGAGTACATAGATTTAGTTAGCTTTCGACAAAGATAGCTCAAAAAGCCGTTAAGTTTATGTTTATTTTCGAGCCAGGTTAGCTAACTAACAAATAATGACCAAACAATGTCGAAAAAAACATTGTCGTTTTAGTATATATTTTTATAAAATATGTTCAAGTATTTAAGCAACAACTCATCCTCCTGTGTGTGGTCTTTTTTAATGCATGTGATTGGGTAAGACTGTTGTTTTTGTTTGACTGAACTTGCTTAAACGGGAGAACTTTATGAAATAACACGTTAGACTAAGTGCATTTCTACTTTGTGACAAACTGGTTTGCTGGAAACAGAAAATCATAATTCAGCGAACTTCATTTGAAAACTAACCTTATTTGCAACACAACTTTACAAGATACAAATTTTGGAAATCTTTTGAGATGGAGAATAATACTAATTTTCGAGAATTCATCTTAGCTTACTGAGTGATATTCATCCAAAAAACAAGCGAAGTGGAATTATGACTGCTTTTCGTTGTGTTTGAAAGACTCTGGGAGTTATAAATAGAAAATTGTCATAAACCTCTTAATGTTTTGGTTTCATTATACGCCTAGAAATTTTAAATCGATCTACACATTATGGACTTAGAAAAATATAAGTCACACAGTTTAGGGTAAAAACTGTGCATTCACTAATTTGTCAATAACATAAAATGTCTTTAGGTATCAATACTAAGGTTGGACCGGATAGTTTCAAATAAACTGGCTAGAAAGTTATATCTCAATCAGTAAGAAAATCTTATTTCTGATGTTTCGTGACTTGATGTAAGTCACTTCTTCAGAGTAGATAAATGGCATATTGATCGATCGAAATACAAGTATCCCCTCTGAGGTTAACTCATAAATCCCAACTTATTATTTTTTCTATCTATCTAGAGGTTTCGTTGGTACTCAGATATCCGCTAATTGATTTACACAATAAAATAACAATCAATTAACAATATTTTGTCAGCTGTTTCAAAGTTATCTGACGGACCTTTGATCAACTCAACTATCAACAGAAAATACTTCTTTTAGAAAACGAACACTTAAGATAAAACTACTACAATTAAAGTTTTACCACAGAATCATTTTACTGTGATTTAATACTCAACAGTAGCATTCATCCTTATTCCCTTTGAAGCGCAAATGTACATTCTCTAAGTCTTATAACGACTGCATTAGTGTTTACAAATCTAATTCCGGTTATTTTCCAGTATATTTTTGCTTCTATCAATTTATACTGAAAGTAGTTTAAAGTTTAGATATGTTCCTAGAAATACTAGTTTAAATATTGATGGTAATACATTCATTTTAGTTGAATTTATTGTTAATTCATTCGGTTTATGATGAACAAACTCATCTTAATTTGTAACTAGATTCTAGCTTCATTCCTGCCAGTCATTAGAAATGCTACTGCTCCACTAAAATTAAAACTTCAAAAACTCCCTACATATTCATATTATGAAATATACGTTACTAGTAAAGTTTAAAACTATATGGTAACAGAAATTATATGAGTCGCATTTCCGAGCGAATGGATCACTACACAGTCAAACCAATGTCGTGTTATCTAATCTTTTAACAACGTTTTCAGTGCAGTTTCACTTGGCTGTATAAGGACATTACGCAGGGCTTTTTCTGTGATGTTCTTTCAGCAGCCATGTCTGAACTAACATTTTACATAAGATTTTTTTTAAATGTTTAGAGTGAAATCAGTGGTAACAAACAAAGAATATTATTTCATTGTAATATAGAATCAGGTTACTAATAAGAGAGGACCTAGAAACCGAATAACTATTGTTACTACCTTTAAGGCAAAAGAAAATTGATGTTTGAATCGGTGAATTAACCATAATTACACAGTGTTTGTGTCTTTTGATTCGTACCAACAACAGTATATATCTACACTCATTTTCTCTGTTCATTACCACAATAACATAAGTTATAAGTAAGTTTCGCACACCTACCTAAATAAGTTAATATTTCATCCTGCAAATAACAGTTAAAATACCAGTAATGTTCTTCATAGAACAGAAGAATTTCTTCTATTTAAGCCTCTTCATCAGATACAAACAGCTTAAAGTCACGATGGTTGGCATGATTAGAAACAGAGGTTTCATGTACTCTAGTTAATAAAGTTTGGATGGATGTTCGAAATAGGACTAGAAACCTTAAGTGGGAAACTGATGCACATTTGTTTTGAAAATCTAGTCCCGCTATGTAGGAAAGGTAGTTTTAAATCGCTTATAATCATATGAAAACTAGGTGGTTACATAATCACGTCGTAAAATTTCAAAAAATTAACTTGATAAGTATAAAAACGAAGTTATGTAATAGGTAAAGGTACTTTTTTTGTAATTACTTTTAGTAGAACAGGAAGGATTTCACTATATATTCCTTTTGTATATACAGGTCAAATCAGGAACGCTCACATTTAATAACCTAAGTATGAAGGATTAAAAGTGTCGTTTTTTCATTCGTTACGTACTTTGAGTAACTTGCAGAAATGTACATCATAACTATAAAACGTAAATTTCTAAAAGCGTTTCAGGAAATACAATGTTATTTGTGTTATATAAAAAGTGGCTTTGAGGAGTGCCTTCTTAGAGGATATAGTTACTCTTACTTTGTGAGAGTTTAGACTCTAAAGACCTGTTTCTTATTCGATGTCCTGCTATGGAGGATAATCACATTGGGAAAGAAAACTGAAAAAACAGACCTTTTTAGAGAAATGAAATGTAAAGAGGCTTTTAATATTTAACCTGTTACTCTATCTCATCAACATAAACATAAAGCGAAACACCCCCTCTCCTTTGACAATAATCAATGGTCAATGTTTAGATTTTGAGTTGTTTCAGTAATTTAGTTAGTAAAGAATTTGAAAAAAAACATGATCATAACTAATAGACTAGTTTATAATACAATTTCGCATTAACATCAATAAAGTTACTTAATTTTAATTTTGTTGTTTTCGGTGGAATTCGGTCTCTTGTAAGTTTATATTTGACCTACAGATATGTAGATGTTGGAAAGATTTCGGAAAGAAATTATATTGTAATGATGATGAAAGTCTGTTTAATCAAACGAACAAACTTAATGCGGTGAATAATCAAAAATCCTTAGATGAAGACCCACTAAGATATATTTCTTACCTTTTTATACATTGAATGTAACAACTCATTATATTTAAAGATTAATTTTCGAGCCATATAATTTCACACTGGTAATGTTTAAGTCTAAATTTGGTCTGTCTCTGTTGAAATGTTTGCCAAGATGCTTCGATACTACCTATAATCATAGATTTTATTATACTTTCTGGTAGTGGCTAGTACTGGGACATACACTCAGATGCAGTTGCATCCATATGATGCTTTCTGAGCAGGATAAAACATCCATCTTAATTTCCCTTGTTGACTACTCTTCATTTGTATTTCCAATATATTTAAGGTAATCCAGTACTATAAAGTATTATTATTCGTCTGAAGACAGCCAACATGATAACACTAGTGATGACAGTGATGAGAATAATAATGGCATAATATATTTCCTTTTTCATTATTAGTATCATGAACAAATTGGGTATGTATTCACAGATTAATAACTTCATCTAAACTTTTTGATCACTATCATTTTTTTGCGATACTAAGGACTATGATACAAGATAAGGAATCAACATGTGTTCTATTTCTTTTCATTGATGAAGGTCATCTTGTCAGTTTGAAAGTGCAAACTATCAAACATATACATACAATTTTAAAATTAGTCTATATTGGTGTTCTGTGGGATGAAAAGTGTCTTGATGACATTTAATTATAAAAACCGTTTTCGTAAAATTAGTTATGATGACATCGATGATTATTAATATTTCATTTACTTATTTGTTTCATAATAATTAACATGATAACCATAGTTTTAGCTAGGATCAATAGACTTCTATCTTCTGATAGTATTCGGTTATAGTCGGTATGTGTGTTGTTAACCAAAACGTATTTCATTCAAATTAGTGAATTGATATTTTTATCTGTAAAACTTAATGTTTTGATTACCTCTAACTCTACGTTTTCTGTTTTAAATTCCGTGCCAGTTTAGAAATACTTTTGAGTCATCTGTTATGATTTGAAGTATAATAAATGAAAGGAATATTTTCCAAGTCAAAACATTGATTCAGACAGTTTAAATACAACTAAATATTTCCTGATGTAGTAAACACCAAGATCTGACTTCAGTTAAGCGACTATTGAAAACAAGGAAGCACTGAACAACTGTCCTATCCTAGTATATGACACCTTAGTGAAGTGCCTTTGCAACCCAGTTAAAGATCAAAACCTGGACATACTAATGAAGGCTTAGCATTTAGACTACTGAGTTAGAGGAAATAAACAATACTTGAAACTGAGTAAAGACTTTTGAAGGGATTGAGATAGTGATACAAATAAAAGATTGAATGAATCATGCCACATGGGTCCTTTCATTTTTAAAATGATATTAAGAATTCACTAAGTCTGGTCTTTTTATGTAGCAGGATATTATTCTTATTCAGGTATATATTGACCAAATGATCGAAATAATTACACCTTTAGTTAACAACATAACTCTGTGATCGAGTGTGATATAGAGACTTATTTCACTAGTCGATACATATTTCAGTTTGGATTGAACTACCTTTTCTTATGTATTTACTATTATTGCAACATGTAGTGGACTTTTTAGTTTTATCCGATACCTAAGAGTCACTAAACTAACGAACTAATTTTATGTAAATGCTTCTTAAAAAGATCATCTATTTAGGTTGTATAAATTGTTTTCAAATTCTCGAGTTATTACTTACATAAAACTAGTTACAGTTCAAACAGAAATATTCACTTTTTACCTTTTTCACTACAAAGGTGAATGAAAAAGAGCTATAAAACAACTGTATAAAAGTTTATCCCTAAAGTTCTTTAATATGACCACGTAAAAATTATTCTTCAATTAATGCTTGTTATTTCAAACTGGCTATTTGTCTAATCGATAGTTTGATATTTTGATTGAACTAATTTACTTGAACAACGTTGAACATGATCACATCTGTTCAGTATTAGTATACTTTTCTTATCAGATAGCTGACATAAAGATGATAAGCAAAACAAAATAGAAGACAGAACATAAAAACAGATTACATTAAGGCCCATTCTAACCACGTGATGACACCCAAAGTCGTGATAATCATTTATGTAAAGTAAATACATCACGTATTGTTGTGTTCTGAGTGGAACTCACACAGCAATGTTGAATAGAATAAAATTTACCTGAATGAATATAATTTTTTAGGATTTGTCAAGCTTTTATGAGGATGAAATAATTTAGACTATACACAACCCAGCTTCTATGTAATTAATTAATACAGAATTAAGAAAAAAAGAATTCAGAGAAGATAATTTTCGATGAAATCATTTACTTAATGTACGATTTCTTTTGCTAATGAAGATCTCCAATTTATACATTTAAGGAATAGTAAAGGATAGTTATTGTCTGATCACACAAGTGGATAACTAAGCTCTAAGAATTGTGTTACATTCCTGTATGCATGAGAATAAATCCGTCCGTAGCCCCTCCATGGTTAATATCGATACCAAGCCGGAGTAAAAAGAGAAGGTTAAGCATCGGTTTGGTAATCCCACATCACAAAGAGAAACCCCAATGAAAATTCGCTAGAAGAGAGAACCGCATAATCTCTTCCCCATGAGGAAAGCGGCTTCTCATACAGGAAATTTATGATGTATCACGATGAAAGCCAAGATTCTTCTGGAACCGCAAGACTGATGAGCGTTTTGACAACAGCAACATCAGAAAAACTTAGCAAGTGCATCGCGTAAATCACACTACTTTCAGTACCAAGCAAGGTCTGCAGCCGAGTGTTACCGAACCGAACGAAAGATTTAGTCGAACCCCAACTTCAAGACCATTTAACCGGCTTTCGTAAGCATCGATCATGTATCTACCGAATGGCGACACTGATGTTCCTTGCTAAAAAATCGACTGGTGAAACACATCACTATAAAAGAACTTTTTTGATTATAAGAAAACATTCGACAACGTGGATAGAAAAACGTTTTAGGATCTTATTTAACCCTATGAATGCCATTAACATCATACGGATCTCGTACAAAGGACTGAATTTCAAAGTCATCCACGGAGAGCACATTACAGGTGTATTCTCGTCGAAGGCGAGTGTTAGACAAGGACACTTATTATCACCTATCCTGCTTTTACCAGCCGTTGATTGGTCTGTGAAGACCTTGAGATCTTGATAGAGTCATCGAATACAGTGAACACCTTAGACAGAGCTGGATTATTTGGACTTAGCAGTTCTATCACATACAAAACAGAAAATACAGACGATGACAGTGAATGTAATATTGGCTTCAGCAGAAATACATTTCAGTGGTTACGAGGAAAAAGCAAGGTTCTGAAGTGCAAAGCATAGAGAACCGATCAAAGCATTCTATAAGGAGTAGCAAGCTTAAATAACTAGGTAAGTGATGTATAAGAACATTGGTCATATCAGCCTTCAATAGATACTGTATGTTAGATTACAGTTATCTAATCAGTGGATGAACCTGATTTGTGTTCATTATCCGAATCACTATTCCTGTTCTAATTTTTTGATAGTTTAAAATCAAATAATCTCAGTTCCCAATTGTGAAGGTGGTCTTGTTCGGAATACAAAATATTGATGGTATAGAAACTGGAGATATACCACTTTTTTGTTTACAATTGTGAGTAGTAATACATGTTACTCCCAATCTAGCAGCTTCCTAAGTTATTGATTGTTAAAAGAGTCCGTATGAGTGAAACATTTGATTCGGCAATGCAAATGACAGTGTAAAAATCTGTTTTTACAGACACCATAGAAGTAATTGTACTCAATGCCCATATGTCGATAGAACTATATAGTGGTATATTTTGTGATAGTGTCTAATCGTAAGTTAAAAATTTCAAAATTACAATTAGTTTTTATTCCTAATCTTAGTACATAAATCAAAACATATAAAATTAGAAAAATTTTATTATTCATTTAGTTAATACTTCAGCATTTATTGTGGAGAATCACTCGCCATCATTATTGAAACGAAGCTGGGTATATTCAGATACATATAACTGCGAAAAAATCTATAGCTGCTTCAATACGAGACAGTGTCGTCTGAGGTATAACTCACCGAATTATTTCTGTGCAAATATTTATCCCTGTGGGTCGTCATGTGCACCACTGGACTATCATGTAAGTCTGTGATAATCTCTTCATTATTCTTAATCTTAATCTATATATTAGTATAGTCTATATTAGTAACATCACTATTTTGAAAAACAATAGTCAGTTTTTAATTACTTACATCAGTTAACCCCCATGGAGGAACGTGAACCGCCTACCAGGATTCGCTAACCAACTCTGCCCTAGGCTCTCCTCTGAAGCCGCTTTCAAATGCTATTCATCCCGTTGAAGTCCACATCCGATTCCCGACATAATGTGTCCATTGGTCTGCCCATTTTCTCCTTGTATTCAGGATTTTAAATAAGAGCTTGTCTAACGATGCAATCTGAAGATTTCCGTAATGTTTACTCCACCCAGCTCCAGAGTCTTATTCTAATTTCCACTCCAACTGCACCTCTTTGATGATAACTGTAGTGGTTCAGAAAGTTTTAGCTCCATACAACAGAACAGTTTTGACGTTCGCATTGAAAATTCTGACTTTGATGCTGCCTGACAAGTGTTTTGACTTCTAGATGATCTTCAACCGTAATAATTCCATCCTTATTTTGCTAATTCTCATTTTCACGTGTATATCAGATCCTTCTTGTTCATCGATAATGCTGTCCAGCTTCCGCCTCTTTCGGAGTTTCTCCATCAAGTGTGATTGGATTGGTGTTCTCCATGTTGTATTTGAGGATCTTGCTTTTTCCCTTCATTATTTGAGGTCCACTGATGCAAAGCCTGATGCTACACTAGTTGACTTCACCTGCATTTATTGTTGTGTATGAGATAGAAAAGCTAGATCATCTGCAAAGTGCAAATCGTCTAGCTGCGTCCAAGTAATCCATTCTATTCTGTGCTTCATCTCAGATTTGTAGATTTTCATAACCCAGTCAATCACTAGAAGAAAGAGAAAGGTGGAGAGTGCGCAGCCTTGTCCTAAACTGATCTTCACTTGGAATGTGTCTGTCAGCTGTCCTTCATGCACGACTTTGCAGTGTAGTTCGTCATATGAATTCCGTATGATGTTGATGATCTTCTCAGGTACACCACATTGTCGAAGAAGGTTGCTTACGGTTCTCCTATCCACACTGTCGAACGCCTTCTCATAGTCAAGGAAGTTGATTTGTGGTGACAAATTCCATTCAAGCGATTACCCAACAATGATCCGTAGTGTCGCGATTTGGTCTATGAACGACCAATCCTTATGAAATCCAGCCCGTTGCTTTCGAAGTTGCGTGTCTACTAAATTTTTCATTCGGTTCAACAACACTACGTTGGAAACTTTTCATGGTACTGATAGTAGTTTGACACTTTTGTAGTTCTCACACTTGCTCAGATCTCCTTTCCTTGATATCTTTCTTTCCAGTCTGTCTGCACTTGTTCTTCCTCCCAAATCTTCATGAATAGAACGTGGAGCATGTTTGCAGTTACTTCTTTGTCTTACTTCAGTGCTTCAGCTGGTATATTATCAGGTCCTGCTGTTTTCCCACTCGTGATTTGTTTGATGCCCATGCTAATTTCTTCGATCGTCGGAGTGACATCTATAGGAAGGTCTGTATGTGCTGCTTCGATGTTTGGTGGGTTCAGTGCTGTATCCACTAGTGCCGTTGTTCTTAAACCGCAATGATTGACTTGACTTCTTTGTCATTGGCTAGCTTACAATATTTCCCTGATGGTTTCTTCGTTGTCATATAGTTATCTCATATTTCCTTCTCTTGAAGCTTTTCCCACCGTCATCGCTAGATCTTCCACACGCTCCCAATTATCAGCTCTAATGCTCCTCTTTTCTAGATTGTCTGCTTCTGTGTATTCGGCATGTACTTTGGCTTCTTCTGCTCTTACTATGCTGTTATTAATTGCTGTCTGCCTTTTTCATTCTTTAATTCTGCGCAGGGGGTCGATAGATTCACTCCTTACAACTGTGCTTCTTGCTCCTTAGAACTTCATGTTGAGGTTACTGTCTCTTTAATCCCTTTACAGTTATTCTCCATAGCAGTTCCCACTTCTTTATGTAAATCTTGCGAGACTTGAAACCTGTCACTGAGAGCTATCTTGGATTCGCTAAATTCCTCAATATTTGAAAGGAAAACTGTATTCAAACTTTATAATGCTGTTTTTCCACTTATTCAGCGCTTCTTTAGCTTCAGTTTCACCTTAGCCAAAAGCAGGTGATTATCTGAAAGATATGGTTTGTGTTTTTAAACTAAGACTTTCTACATTTCTGCTGCTTCAAGCAAAATAAACTGACGAACAATGAAGAATAATTATTATCGAAGATCCCACGTGAAGTTGTAATAATCCTTTATTTCACTTGCAGCACGTTCAGGTTTCCGATTGTATGTGATCCATCTTTTATTTTAGTTGTGATCATGAAAAGTCACTAGCACTTGTCACTAAATGACTATTCAAGTTTGCTGAATAAATGGTTATTTTTATGTCTCAGACATAGATACTGAGTTTATCGTCTTTAACTCAGTAATGATAATAGGCATCCAACTACTTGATGAAGGATGTTTAAATTAGATGAAAAGTTCAGGCAAAAAGAGTATTTTATGAGATACTATTATGTGATTGCACCAGCTGACTTGTGTGGAATACGTATTATGGATTGTGATTCAAAGCCTATTCAGGAATAATATGTTATTTGAAGTAAGATGATTCAATTAGCGAAACCTTATGGTGGTCAGACCCTAGACGAAGCATAAAGAATAACAACAATGGTAAAAATGTATTTCTTAGACATTCTCAAAATCGATATTTGTTTCGATTTCGCGACAAGTAGTGAACGAGAATTTAGGTGGTTAAAACCAACTTATAGTTCCATGCAAAACTACAGAGTGCTTTCGTAAAATATGAAAACCATACATTAAACACACGGTATTTGAAATTACTTTTAAGAACGAACTATAAATAGTCAACTAAATCTTTTCATACACTCACATATTCTCATGCATACATATACATGTAGTGAGACTTAACCAGTTAAAAACCACATGAAAATGCAAGATATTTTTGGTAGGTTAATGTGTTCAGTGACTCAACACCATAGGCAAGGTATGATCGTAAGAAAGAGGAACAATACTATGAGTAAAACATATGGTAAGATAGCAATCAAATGCAGCATAAACGTACAAACATATTCAGAGTGCAATTAAACATACGTTTTTCCAAATTTATCGTCCTGTACTAAAGCTTGATTTATTTTCTCCCCTTGAGGGCTACTACCGTTTCATCACGCTAAGTTGACCATAGGATGTTGGGACTTCTTGAATCGACAATTTCCCAGACTCCTTAGTTTCTCAGACTAAAGATATAAACTATTACAACTCCATGTTTGAATATTGGCCTGAACAAATAACCCCGCAAAGCATAAAAATAGAGTAAATATATTACTACTACCTTTGATGCATATTTAAGTGGATACTCCAGAAGTGGTTTAGTATGTGAAAACTAGTTCAGATAATAGAAAATGATAAGTAACTTAAAACCACTGGTGTTTGTGAATAAATTTTCTAGATATTAAGACAGTATACTGTGGAGTCACATTTAACATTTTAGATTCGTCATTTACTGAATACATAGTGAAACAGAGACACTTGAAATCATACTACTCGCTATGATGCTGTTCTTGGAATACAGAAATAAAACTCTCCGTAATTATGCGAATCGTTCGTAAATCGGTCAATTGTTTCGTTTTCATAGATTCAATTAATGTTATGTATGTTATTTGGTTTAACATTAAAAGAAGCCAGTCACAGATCACTTGCCTAAGCTTTTACTGTATACATTTCCGAAATTCGTTTAAAGTTAAAAAATAAACAGTAGTATTATATTCCTTCTTTAGCATAACAGATGAATTATTTTTTGAAGTGTGCATCGTGAGCATTGACTGTAAATGGAGATGCGTTCAGTGCATATACTACAAGAGATTAAAAATAACTACAAATGTGCTTTGACTGCTTTGAATTTTCACGAAGCTGTTTAGTAAAAATAACGTGCAATCGATAGTTGACTTGATTTCAACCGAAACATTTGATATAAATATACTTAGTAATATTCATACACGAGGAATTAACTTCATGTGTACAAATCAAGAAATTTCTAAAGCCCAGTGAGATCAAACATAGAGAATTTGGAAAGTGAGCTAACGGTGTGAAGTGAATAACGATATTAGAATCTTTATATATTTTTTGAGAAAGCAAAATAATACAGTGAATGTTGATGGTTGATCACTGAATAACGAAGCATCATAATAACACTAAAAGTACGTATATACAATGTATTGACGCCGAATACTGACCAGTAAGCTTCAATTTTTAATAATGGACGCACAGAAATAGTTTTATGAAGAGAACTATTTGATAACGTTAAATGAAGAAGGTAAATAAATAAAATTTTCAAATCTACTATGACTTTAAGAGTATATGATAATTATTGAGAAAACAATAACAGTAATGCTAAAATATTCATTTCATAACTTTTTTTCAGGGTCATTTAAGGTCATACGAACTCGCGACAGAATAGAAAAGTAAACAAATAAATTGAAAAATATCAACAGGTAAAGCCTCATGTTAATAACATTTGCCTAAGACTACGACAAAATAAAGATGCAATGTTATATTATTCACTTTTATGGAAGCAACTAAGATGGGTTAGCAACAAACCATTCAAATAAGATATATATATATCTTCATGCCTATCCCTCCGAAGGTCCTTAATTAAAAGTCCAAATCGAAACAGTTTTGTGTTTCCAGTTAATGTAAAGTCAAAATATTAATAAGTGTTTAACTTAGATTATGAGATATAAAACCGAGTTGGCCATGTTTGAAGACTATTTTTATGTTTTAGAAAATACCTAACAACAAATACTATCATTATTGTTGTTTTTGACTGGCTGAATTTTAGCTTTAAATATTGAAGCGTAAGATCGTAAATTTGAAGGTTTAATTAAGCATTCTACTTGATCAATAAGTATAATCAATCTAAGCTTCACCACATCTCATTTAAACGAAACGTGTCAAATAATTGATTGACAAACATATTAATTGCTATATGAAACTGTTATCACTGTTGATTGCCTGTGATTATATTGGCACTCGCGTAAAACATAAGAACTGACCGAATAACATAAAGTTCTGTGATTCTAAGCGAATTTTCTGTTAGGTAAAATAACTAGATGAGGGTTTGCATAATGTATCAGTTCAGTATCTTTTATTTTGAGTCATTGTGAATGAAAATTAGCTCAGTAGTTTGCAAAATCACAGGTGGCTACTACCAAAGCCTAACCAACAATAAATTTGAAGATAACCAGCCCATAGCACTTAATGACATCGAACATTATAGTCGACATAAGATCAAAGAAACAATGAATGGTTTCCGATGAAAAATGGAACCTAGGAACATAACCAGTAGGAAACAAGGCCATCCAATCAAACTTCTTTGAACCTTCTGAAATAATCAGAAAGCTGTCACATTTGAAGTAGGTCCTTAGGGTGCACGTAATTCAAACCGACATCTCCGAAAATGCAACTCTACGGAAATGTAAGTTGGTTTAAAAGCACTGCACCGAAAACTATATATTAAGGAGCAACGTCATTGCTCTCATGTTATCTCTAATGCTGAAGAATGTTTAGGTCAAATAACAAATGAGTTCATGAAAAACAGATTGGTATGTTAGATGATCTGTTAATTTCCGCACAACACAACAGAAAATACGGCAGCCTTCAATACACTCTAGTACTCTTTATACGCCTGAACGTCATTAAGGTGATTTTTTTGTAGGAACTTTTAGGAAAATAATTTTACTCTAGACCGAGGCTATACGATGTTCTTCTATTCTGTGGACATATATCCTGTCAAGCTGGGTATACATATAAACCGTAATAGTTATATTTTAGTGTTGTAACGTGTGGCCTGCAGGTTTTGATAAGCAGCGTTTATATCGATCGGTTACAGTGACACGGAAAACACGTAAGGACGACCTAGTGCCCTGATTCGCTGTCTGTCCTAGCCAGTTGAGTCAAGAACATAAGTCACAGCCTCTGAGTTATGAATCATTGTATTTCAGACATACTCTATTTATATACCAAACAAACCACATCGTACCATAAAATAGAAAACATTTACACAATATTTAACAAGTGAAACAAACATCGACCAATAGGAAATGTACATTTAAGGTCCAAGGCCACCATAGACTTAACACGATAATTATTGGTATATTTTTCCTCAGCATCCGTAACATTTAGTAACTCATTATTGTGAATATTTAAAAAATCTATGACCGTACGAAATAACCTTCAGCTAATTTGGTCACATAAATGTCTTAAATCTCGTTGGTGTGGACGAAAGGATTATGTAGTGACAGAAACAAATTTGTGCCGATAATACGCGAATCGACAATAAAAAATACTGCCACTCTCTGAACCTTAATGACCTATGGAATATCAGAAAACCGCCAGGTATATGAATGAGGAGCTAAAATCTAACTTCACATACATTTTTAGGTAACCTAAAACAATGAGAAATTCATTCAAGTTCTTGCTGATTGGCCTAGCAACATAGCAGGTTGCTTGATGACCTAAAATTTTGATTTCCAATTCGGTCTTTTTATCAGTGATATGTCCAGTAAATAAGGTTATTAAGCTACTTAATAACTTATATGGTGTCAGACTACTGCACCAAAGCACTGGTTACCAAAGGATTTTTATCGGAATGTAAGCCCATTGCATGTCGTGATGGCAGGACCGATATTTAATACTAGAAAGTTCGAGTTAAACCGGCCGACATAACTGAGTGAAGACATGATACGTGACGGACTGTAATGAACAGCGCTGATGGACAGCAAAGGTGATTACTCCTAGCATTTACTTATATCAAATTGGACCACAGGAATAGGAATCATTATTTAAATGAATAATTTCCTCAATATACTTTACCAGCCAAAATTTTCGATTGAAAAATAGTTGAGTGACCCATATTAACTAATACAAAATAAACCGAAACCTGAGATTAGAATGTTTTGTGTGCATCGATTTAAGACATAACTTATTAATATACACACAGGCCACTACTTTTAAAGAAACGAAGCAATTAAAGATGAGTGGGAATCTATATGTATAAAAACTATACCGAACAATTAAAAACATCACTTGACTGGTAGAAAATATGGAAGGAATAGAAAATGTACTGTTAACAGGCTGGGGAATTCACCCTATTAGTGCTGTTATTCTACATAAACAGGTGAAGATAGTTTCTACAGGTAGTTAATCTCAGGAAACAATAATTTCCGCCTTAGTAACTTTATTTAGTACTGGATTATGATAATATTCAGGCGATCAATCTTATTGCAAAGAATCTGTAAACGAACTGCAACATAATTGACGTATTATTTACAATAAGTGTCAGCATATACTTAGTGAAACCTATTTTCAATGAACAAGTTTATCACTGTCTTTAGGGAATTTTATTACCATGTTTTGTACCCATATCATGGTAAGCGTTTTAATGCTTGTTAATCTCTAAGCAATTTGATTGGTAGTAACAGTAACATTATCGGTATCAGCAAGAAAATTGGGAATCGAAGAAAAGCGTCATTATGGACAATACACGTTTGTCATAAATTTATATTTAGAGAAATGAATTACAGATAAGTTTATTTTACTGGGTGTGAATTAGAGACGCTCGCTTAATTTATTCATGGTCTAAACGTACTTCAAAGTAGTAACTGTCAGTTACTAGAAAATCATAAAATACGATCTTCTCTGCGGACACTCAAACTATTTGGTGACAAAAGTACATTCCCAAATTAATTCAATTATTAATGGATCGTTGGTGTTTTTTCTAGAGATTTTAATGTCTTTCATTATTTTATTTAATTATTCAACATATTATTGCCCATTCAAAATTCATCAGAAACTTGATCACGCTACTTTCATAGTGTTGTATTAATATGAACAAAGATCCGACATAAATTACCAAGCAATAATGTCGCCGGACAGCAATCACAAATTATTGTAGCTGCATTTAAGTTACAAATCACGTAAGATATGAGCATTTAACGTTGAAAGGATTCAGAATCCAGTAAGTTACTGAAGGCGAAATGGTAGCAAGGATGAATATGATACTTTTATGAACAAACTATGGGATTTACCTGTAACTATGATGAATTCATTTTACGTTTTATGTAGTATATGGTTTCATACTTATGGTCAGTTACGAGTACTTTGTGTTCTTAACTATGCAACCCGGCAGGTAGCTTCTTAGAATTGCCTTAGATGGTAAAGCAGTAGTAACAAGCATACTTCTAAAAATTTAAACTTTAGTTATCTGATCAGCTATAATCAGCAGCACACTTCCACATAGTGCATATTTTTGTTTTGCAACATTGTACAAGGAATTCGGGCCAAGCACACGATTAATATTCATAATTCGTAACGATATTGTATTCCGACGTTTTATTGAATAAAAAAGAAAAGATGAATCACAAACATTTGAGTTTTGCTTTATGAAAGCAAGCTACTTTCATGCAGTTGACAATAAATAAATTAAACGACGACATGCACTTCCCTTATCGTTTTCTTCAAAATAATAATGAGAACAGAATTTAATAATTAATACGAACATATGCAACTAGTTTACGTTAAGGCACATACACAGACACAATTGAACAAGAACCACAAACACACAAGCTCACATTTACTTTATTAATAGGGCATCACTACTCTGGAAGTAAGGTACCAGATATGCTGTCAATTTACATGTATTTAAATATCATAATTATCCTGTGCATAAAACGCGTGTGGTTTCTTGACATGGCTTTCATCTTCCTGAAAGATGAAGTAATTCGCTAGATTCTTTGGCATAATAAACAACATCTGGATCTGTATCAGAGCCCAGTTTTTCTAACGTTGGTTTAACAAATGTCTGTATAGTCGATGCATCCAGAAGATGGCCAATTTTGCCCAAAATTTGACCAACCTAGAATGTGCAGAAAAGGCATTGGAAAATTGTATCATTTTTAAAACTATATATTGCGGTAAGCATAAATAAAACCTTATATAAAATGTTTCATGTTATGTGTTTAACCAGCATAAGATACTACATGTCTGACATTGATGAAAACGTATGATGTATATTAGGCTCAAGGCTTTAATTTTTAGATAAATTTGATAATAGTGACCTCGATTAGACATATTTACAGCTTAGTCTCTACCTACATTTCTCTGCATAAAGATAGAAATGGATAAAAGCATCAAAGACAGCTTAGTTATGCTTATAATAACACTCAAATGCTGAATACCATTCTTACTTTGAAACGAACATTTGGCACAGGATCTTGACCCAGTTGAACTATAGTAGGAAGTAAATGTTTCTGCAGTAATTCCGACCGACAAGACTGAGCTTCACCTAGCTGATGAAGGGATGCCAAACAAATCATTCGACGAAGATAGTTGGGATCGTAAGAGAGTTGTATGAGCTGTAAATTTTTTTTAGAAAGTAATGTATAATTGTCAAATATTTGGTTGCTTGGCATCATTATATTAAAAATAACCGTGAAAAAGTTTGATGCATTTTGTGTGAATTTACTTGTGGTATTTTAATGAATTGATAAGCTAACCTTTACATAGACTTATAAATTTTCCCAGATATTTGAACAGAACGTATCTTCATGTTAGTCAGTATTTCATGTAGTGATTGTTTAACAAATAAAGTGACACTATGGTGACATACATGGAATAAAAGCAAAACAATTAAACTATGACTAGAATAACCTCCAAAACCACATGATTTGTTACAGTTAAACACTTATCAACCGACAGAGACGATAATTTATTTCTGAAGAGCTAAACATATATTCTGATATCTGAATTCAACTACGTCAATAACAAATATCATTTGATACCAACACAAAAATTGTAACCACATGAAGTAAGAAATCAGACCACTGTATCGAAAACTTTCGGCTCAAGAGTGCAGTAAAATAATCTGGGTCTAGAACACTGAAATGACCAAAACTAATTTAGCAGTGTACAGGTAATAATTGACTACAGTGTGACCTGCCAAATATCACCAAACCATTATTTAAATGCCTACATTTAATTTAGTTGCTTATTTACTTACCAGTGCTTTTAGAAGTAGCGTTGGTACTGAAGCTTCATGTGTATGGAATGAACATTTTTCAAACAATAAAATAAGATTAACTATGAGAGTTAAAAGACCATAAGACAGTAAGTACGTCGAAAACTCACACCAGTGTATATGTAGGCAAATCACAAACAGGTAAACAATAATTCCTTGGACTGGAGATTTCAGTTCGTAGTAAAATCCCAATGACCATAGACTGTATGCAAAATACGGCATTATGAAAACACATGGATTTAACAGAAGCTTGAAACTCGTTTGACCTTGACATAACATAATAAATTTGTTCTGCTCAATTCTCTACGTCATTTGCAGTCTAGTCCTCTTGAAGCAGACAGAGCAGATAAATATTCCTTAGGAATATGTGAAAGAATTAGTGAATGAAACATTACAAAAGAAGCTAATCACTAATAACTTAAAAACTGCTCGAATAAGGCTTTACAAGCAAGAGTTTATATTCCCCCTTCGAGGGCATAAATAAAATTCTTGGTAAAACATGGATAAAGCAGTTATAGTGTGGTCAGACGATTAATATCATGCACTATACATTCTCGTATGTAGAGAATCCATCTACCAGCAATAATCATTTCACATATTTAGGTTATAATCAATATGATAACAATTCATTACAGAAAAGATTTAATTTGCTACAAAGAAAAGTATATCAAAGCAAGGGTTTTCTTTAACATGTTAACTAACAAGTGGCTATTAGTTGAAAAATTCAATCAACGGATAGTACCTGGACCAATGTGTGGAGAAGAATATACCAACATGTAACCACATTATGGGTCTTAAATACTGCTTTAACAGTTTGTGTATGGAGGTGGGATAACATTAGGAATGTAGCATGTCGTGAAGTGGAATGAACGTGATTATAAAATACAAAGCGATACTAAAATAAATAAATTCGGAATCCCGTCGTCCTTCAAATTTTCACTATGATGAAAGAATACTACCGTAATACAATGGGTCCTGATTACTAGCCACAACCATTGTATTTAGTAGGTATGTAAATTAACTTGCCTTTGCAATTGACTGACGAAGACTCTACAATGTTACGAATCCCTTGACAATTACTCATGGTGACGTACAAACTAAATTCCAATTAAGTCAAGCAATGAAGACAGATAGAACTTCTGAAAAAATTGTGAATCAAGGGAGAATGTTAGCTTTTTTGTGTTTTTCGTCGCAACGGAAAACTGAATTTCTTGACGTCGCGTTATACTACCCAGGATGACTGAATAGTATTAAGTCTAAGATCTGATGACGAAACTCTATTGTTAATTGCATAGAAGTGCATCATGATTTATTATCAACATTCTAAGGATTGTTCTAAAGAATGTTATGGTTTTATATACTTATCAAACGACAAAATGGCTCTCATCCTCAAGAAAGCGAATAGTCACATTTTATTTAAGATCTACGATCACCTGGGAATAGTGGATCACGGACATTACGCACTTCGCAAAATCCAAACGTGAGATCACCGATGACAACTGGGTTTCACTTGCTTGCAATAACTAAAGTTATAGAATCGATCTATTTACGGCAGCTTCTTAATCTACCAATATACTTTGGTATTACGGAGTAGCAGCATAAGGTATTTGTGACAAGCATATACATAAGGTTAATATTTTTGATCAACAGTTAGTTGAGTAGGATTCCCATCAATAGCATCCTGAATTTGAGTTATGCAAGTATCACCACATATTTTGCGTTGATTTGTTCATTATTTCACAGAGAATGTCTTCTATGAAGATTATATTTATCAAACAGAAGAGAGAGAGAATAAATATTTCTTTTTAACTAGTTTTTCATCATGGGTAGACATAAACGTATATGATTTACGACGACAAAATGTTGGTGTAGTAAAAAAGTTAAATGATATTATAATTAAGGTCGAAATAGGGAAGGGTCGAACAAACTTCTGCAAAGACGTATAAATGCGGATACCAACATGTTCAGTGGTATGTGATTAATCCCACCATGTGGTGAATTTGGTGGAAGTTTAGTTCAAATTAAGATGAGGTCTTACGTTCACTATGTGAACGAGAACGTAAGTCGTAGTCATTTTTAACCGTTCTTTACTTAACCAGCTCATTAAAATGGGAGTGCGTTATAAATGAACGTTGATCCACCACATACATTACAAAAACATTTTCTAATTTCTTTCAAATTTTGGTTTTTACGTGACTTTAGTATTCCTCTCTTAATTCTTCCGCAATTTCCGCAAAATTAACGAATTATAAAAAGCTTTTATAAATTTTCTTAATACATAAGATCAAGCAATGATAGTGGGAAAAGCTTCAAGAGAAGGAAATATGAGATAACTATATGACAACGAAGAAACCATCAGGGAAATATTGTAAGCTAGCCAATGACAAAGAAGTTAAGTCAATCATTGCGGTTTAAGAACAACGGCACTAGTGGATACAGCACTGAACCCACCAAACATCGAAGCAGCACATACAGACCTTCCTATAGATGTCACTCCGACGATCGAAGAAATTAGCATGGGCATCAAACAAATCACGAGTGGGAAAACAGCAGGACCTGATAATATACCAGCTGAAGCACTGAAGTAAGACAAAGAAGTAACTGCAAACATGCTCCACGTTCTATTCATGAAGATTTGGGAGGAAGAACAAGTGCAGACAGACTGGAAAGAAAGATATCAAGGAAAGGAGATCTGAGCAAGTGTGAGAACTACAAAAGCGTCAAACTACTATCAGTACCATGAAAAGTTTCCAACGTAGTGTTGTTGAACCGAATGAAAAATTTAGTAGACACGCAACTTCGAAAGCAACGGGCTGGATTTCATAAGGATTGGTCGTTCATAGACCAAATCGCGACACTACGGATCATTGTTGGGTAATCGCTTGAATGGAATTTGTCACCACAAATCAACTTCCTTGACTATGAGAAGGCGTTCGACAGTGTGGATAGGAGAACCGTAAGCAACCTTCTTCGACAATGTGGTGTACCTGAGAAGTGAGTGAGTAGGTGAGTAATTAAGTATTCTGACAGTCGCTTAACTGTTCCCGATTTTACAAGTAATTACTTTGATTATTACAATCACCATATTCCATCACTTAGTTGATAAATGGAATGATTTTTAGTAACTTGTAGAACTTACAATATTATTATGTAATAATGTTGCTCAATCAGTAATATGTCGTTATAAATTATATACACCCTGATGTTTTTTACTATCGTTGAAGTAAGTGCTTCTATGATCTTGCTGTTCATCTTGCGCTAATGTGGTATAGAAACTTGCACTGATGCATATATGTGCCTTGTCCTACGTTGTAGCTGACTGACTGAGCCATGATGAAAAATAATTGAGAAAAATTTCCCCTCTCTGTTCTTCTATTCACTAATTGTCTCAATAGGATTTATGTTTATACTCAGATATGAAATTAGAAAAAAATTGACTAAACTTATATCTGACTTCATCGGTAGTCATTAAAAGTGAAGAAAGCAACGCAAATCAACGATAAGTCAGTGAAACTTCTCCATAGTCCTTAAACAGACGATCAGGCGAGCATCATACATGGTCCGTATGTAGCAATGTTTTGTAGCCAAAATTGGGGTTCGGAGGCAATCGGATATGCTTTTAAACAATTTTCGCAAGAAACAACTAATAATAAATGAAGACAATACGAAGTTATCATAAAAAAGAACGACTCTACAATTCCCAACAACAGTCAAACAAAGAACTGGTATTTGCGTTGATATTATGTGGAATGACAGTGAATACAATAAAACAGGAAGGTTAGGTCCAACAAACAGAAACACTGAAAAATTGTTGCATTGTTTTGATTGCCATAATTCAGAATGTCTAAAGGAATTCTTAGACAAAAAAGTATCCGTTTAACGATAAAATAATATGTTTTGCAATATAACCTACAAAAAATGTGATGTGAATGAAATACTATTGTTAATTTAATGGCCTTGATCGACCAAGCCTTTGAGTAAAACAAATATGAAGAAAAACACTAAAAACCCATTGACACCTGGAGTTGAAACAAGTTTGCTATGACAAAAATGATCAGCTAATGTGAAAATAGAGCGCGACCGTTTGACCGCAAGACTGAAGAAAAATTAAAAAGTACTGAGGATAGCTAACTTACACGAGGGATGATTTGAGAACTGGCCCAATCGACTCCAAATTGATCCATAAGTTTTCGTAAATTTGTTACAGCTGCTTCACGTACAGCGTATACATCGTCTACTAGCCAACCCAAGCATAAATTTGTGAGTCGCTCGTTAAAACATTGCAAACCAAGTTGACTTGCTAATAGTGGCATATACTCAATTATTGCTAGACGAACACGCCACTTTGTATCACTGGCCAATTCAACAATAGCAGGAAGTAGACTTTGACTAAGTTGGGTAATTCCCATAATTTGATTTACACACTCTAAATTAGATATAATATTCAAACGGACCTACAAAAAAGTGAGACATATTTCCGAAAATTGGATATCATAAAAAACAAAACCATACATAATTCAGGATTCATTGATAATAGATAAATAAAAATCTATTATTATGCAACAATTACCACACAAATAATAAGATGACGGAACTGTGCGAAGGACAAGGAGGTAAATTTTTAGAACGAGTTTCTCTCAATATTCTTCACCTTGGCCAGATGGATACTGGTTATAACAGTAAAAAAATGTCTTGACGCTTTCAAAAATTACAATTAGTACAATGGGTTACTTATGCTAAAATTTCCTACATGTAAAAAACAGAATTATGGAATTCGGGTAACTTTTGTAAACTTTCCTAGCTCTTTATTGTATGGTACTACAAGGTCACTTTTCCACGCATAAAAAAGATTTTTGTCTATGTCATATGTAACCGAGTAAAAAAATGTGCAAAATAAGCTTACTCTGATTTTTAACGTCCGGTAGAAAAGTATCGACAAAATGATTAAACTCTATTATAATCTAAACACAACATAAATATTTCGCTGATTAAGATTGGAACAAAATAAACTGGACTTCAAAACTATAATAAAACTACTGGACTTTTCTCCATTGTTTTGACCTATATATGGTTACATAAGTATTATTTTCATCAACTTGCCAAACAAATTTATAGTTATATAGATGACACTCACTAAATGTTTCCTGATTTTATTCTTGCTGATAATCAACGGACAACAAAATTTACATTATCCGGAAAATAGTTTAACTATACAGTAATTCAATATGAGTAGGAGTGAAAAACAAATAGGAACTTTATGACGAAATTGACCAGATCTAGCAATTTGTGTGAAAAGTAATAACACAGAAATGTATAGGGTGTTTCATTTACTACGGCTAATTAAAAGTAGGAAACTATGAATCTAAACTTACATCTGGATTTTCGTCCTTTAATTGAATCAACAGTAATGGAAGAAGATGTTCTAATGTATTCTCCTTGCCAAGCAGCGGAGCTAAAGCCATCATGACACCGGCCAGAGCCGTTTTTACCTGTAAATTAGTTTCACCGACCATTTCCCGAATGATAGGTAACAATGTTTTCATAATTACGGATTCACGAATATCAGGGGCTAGAGACGAAGCAAACTTCTTCAGTTTGCCTGCAGCCGCTGCGCGAACTTCTCCTTCTGGATCTTTGAGAAGGATCTAGAATTGAGACAGAAAGTTTTTTGCATTAGAAACGAGTGCATACTTGGTCAGAATATTTCACCAAAAGCATTTATTCATCTAGACATTAATAGTTTAAAAGAGTCAGCGTACCGCTAGTGAGTTGACGCTTGGATTCCAAAAACCGGATTGTAGTTATAAACAACATCTCACCTACGTCGCTTTAGGTAGACGAATAGTATTGCTGGTTTTCATATAAAGTGTGGCTTAAAGCCAAGCAGTCAAACCTACTTCTATTAACAAGTTACATTATGTGAATTACATTTAATGAGATGTGATTCACTGACACAAAAGAAGCTGGCCTCAAACTATGCAGTAATAACATGAGCTATTATTGTTATCTAGTGATGGATGAAAGATGTCATCATTACGTACACAAATTATGAACATATAGCCTGGGACAGATGTGCAATGGCCCAAGTTACCATACTTTCCACACCTGATTAGCACGACGAAATACAAATAACAAAAGAGATGGGAGTGTAATATAACGGATGGTTTAAAATATTTCTATCTCACGGATATCACGATAGTACGTCAATAAGACTAATCACGTTATATAAGAACCAGGATTCACAAATCAGAACAGAGAACCAGAATAACACTAAATAATACTTTATTCAACAAAATTACAAGCGGACACAGTGAGTCCGGAGTAGAAATCAATGACAGGAAGGGAAATCAAATATTTAATAGACCGTAGGCTGTGGCTGATTGTTCAGGCTCAACGACTAATCATATTTTTCTTTCACTACCACATATCAGAGTGATGTAGTAGTTGTAGTGATAAAAAGACTAGACATTGAGAATATAGTTTGAGAAGACAATGGAAAGGTATGGATGAAGGAATACTGGAATTTAAGATCAAGATGAAGGGTGAGTGCACCAACGCCATTGTCGGTGATTTTGATTCATATAATCACTAGATAAAATTCTCCTGTTATTTAACCATAAAAATTTTTTCTAGATTTTGACGATACAAGAACATTAATTAAACCATGTAACAAGTAAAATGAAGCTAAGAATAGAGAAACCAACGATGACAATGCATTAAGCACACGCCATTCCACTTCATTAACAATGTGATCGAAATCCTATTGAGAACGAATATACACGTGTGTACGAACCATTGAATTAATCGATGGTTAGTTAAACACGGTAATCAGTATATGATTATTGAAGTGATTGGCTGTTATTTACATTTCAATGTCAGGATAGGTATGAAGGTGGAGCGGAAATCGGTACATATATGAATGTTACTGAATGCGAGTTGATCAAAGAAATAGACTGTTATTTACACATTTGATCAGTTTTAATTAACTGGCCACGTTATGTCTGTAAACTAACGGGAATATGGAATCTTTCCGACTCATGTTTCATAAAATACAAAACAAGAAGTCTAATAGCATGTTTCTTTAGTTTCAGGTCATCGATACTTTCATTCATTGGGAAAGATTGACGTTTAAGTTAAAACAACAAACACCATACCACAGAGTTTTTGATTGTGACAACGGCACCTACTTCAAGGGTTAGACGCCACATCTTAATTCATTAGTTTGACTGTGAAATCGGCTTCCGTGAAATTAAGAGAGGGGAAATTGGAATATAAATTAACAGAAATAACACAGAAACCAGTAAATGAATTCCTTTTGATTAAATATCCTCAAAAGAAATCTCCAAACTACACTGAGTAGCTCCCTTGCTAATAAAAAAAATTGTTACTTATTTTCATTCTAAAACGTTGAATATAAATACAAGCGAATCCCACTCATTTTTATAACGTTCATATCTATCCATTTAAGTATCTTGGACTTCTTTCTCAACTCCCACTTAAAATAGTATATTTCGGCGTAGGAAATGTTTCGGACTTTTTAATAGATGCCCTAATTACTTCAGATATAACTCCACTCCACTATTGACCGATATATTGAAACCGTAACATCAATGAAGGTAATTGTGAAAGAATGGACGTTGGTCACAAATTGAATATATCAATGGCAGCACGCAAGATCAAACAGCGGCGCGTATGGTTTGAAAAGGGATGAGTTCTAGAAATAGACGTATGAAATTATAGTGATGATCAAGACTCGTGATAAAAAAAGAATGAATCTATTTGCTCCATTGTGACCGATTGATGTACTAAACATCTATCGATTGAGATGGATGAAACACGTATTATGTACGCCCATCTACAGCCTACCTCGACGCACGATGTTCGCTGGTGTGTAAGTACATTGTGTGAAAAGGGCAACTAAACTAAAATACTGGCTGTTAGACAGAGCCGCGTGATCAATGTTTAGTGACCGTAAGTGACATAGCCCAGAACTATTCACAATAGCGCTAGCGCATTCAGTTTTTGCTGGATCTAATTTCCTCAAGTTATTTTCTTCTAATTTTATTAATATTATTAATATTCTTTTTTTGAATAGTATCTCTGATGCCTCATCTTCTCTACTAATACTGACAGTGTCACTACTTATACTACTCTGAGATTCGGCTTTACAACCTTACTGTATCGATAAGGTGCGGGGACTTGAACCAATACCACGTTTCACTTTGAAGATGACTGACTAAGTGATCGATCCTGAAATGTCACCTGACGTCTCTTATCACTGATCGCGGTTAATGTGCTCCCCCTGACCAGGTGGTCTACACCTACCACAATGACAGTCCAACAAACATTGACTGCAGAGACTGATAGTATGTCTTGTTTTGGCACCCAAAAGTCTCCATCGAACCCATTTCCATTCCAAACATTAAAAGTCGATGTAAACGGTAATTGAGGTGTGACAAACGTTCCCATCAGATTTATTTGGTGGTGTACAACTTGAATTTTTTATGCGCTCTCATTCATTGTTGGTGAGCTGAAAGGTAGAAATCTATATGAGAAAGAGTAAGTCCAACAGTAACTATTTTGACAACCTTTCACTATATACGAATCATCAGGAAATAAATCCGCCACTTATTTACCAGTTAAACAGTGAAAATTTTATTAAGTATGAAGGAATTCCGACACAATTGAGCACCAACAGAATATGTACCAAACAAATAGAGATAACACCGTGAAGAAATACGGGAAGGAATAGGAGTAAAAGCAGGAAATATATACATAAGAACAGTATGTAACAAGAGAAAGGTTCGTTAAAGATACAGCTGAAAGAATCGTTTTAGTTAAATGAATTCCTTTCAATATTATGAGGAATGTAAAAGAAAATACGGATGAGTTTCTATTAGCTTCTACGTTGAGGTATGTCAGACAAAGGCCAGAGTTTCACTCACTCTAGGACTCCAACCAGGGAGTTGTGATAGACCGACAGATGCCAGTCTTAAACAGTTGTCATAAACACAGATCCGTGATAAATATCATTTAGCCCTACTTTTTTCACAAAGTCTCAACAATGCAAGATGTGACATTCGTAAAGCATGTTCAAGTCACTGAAGTTAGTGCTTCCCGATAATGATACTGGTTGGGTTTTCGACAGTGCGTTCAAACACATATTGCCGAACCTTAGCATGATTAACATGGCGCTGCCATCAAATGTTGGACATGCTTCGGAGAGCAAAATGACCGAGGCGTCACCAAAAATATCTCTAACTCAGATGGGCAAGCATAAAATAAAATGACCTCTTACAACCAACCTAATGTCACGACAGGCGCCGAAGATGGACCGGGTAAGTAAGGGCGACTTTAGGTTTCGCCATGTGTATATTGACTTCATCTGTTACGGCATCGACAGCACTCACACGATTAACAAGATAAGCAAACTTTTCCAACGCATCATCATAAACCATCCAAGTACAAGCTTTTGTCAACCATGAGGATATATTTTACCTTCAGAAGGTTCAAAGAGAATGTTACGGTTACGGATAGTGACTCGAAACTTGTCAAAAGCGATTTAAATACATTGCATACCACCTCACAGTAAAACGATGTCATCTGCGTACTCATGGTTGAAAGGTCTTTCTGATAAAATAAGAAACTAATGTGTTTCAAATTTACAGACATCAACATTTAAAAGGCTTTGAAAATGTTACCTTATCATGAAATACATAAATCAAATTAATGGCCTGTTTATGAATGGGACTATGAAGTTAATGATAATGTATGAACGTTTCATCACGAAAAACAGACGGTACGGTTAAAGCAGAATTGTACCTATAATCTTTCTTGAGATAAGGGGAAACGATTAAGGTACGAAAATCACGCTAAAATTATGGAGAAAGCTAACCTGGTAAACGTCTACCAAGTGCTGTCCAGCAAGTTGGGGTTTTACTGCAGCCTGTAGATCAGTAATGTGATCAGCTAATTGATAACGGACTCGCCAAGATTTATCTTCTGCAGCTCCTCTTATAAGAGGAATGATGTGTGTCAAGACATCTTCAGTAGGAAGAACTTCAGCGAAATCTACTGACGCATTCACACCCAGTAATCGTACAGAGTCCTGATCATCCTGCTAAAACAGAAAACAATTAGGATGGACAGCAGTAGATGAACTCGAATTTTTACTCTTGTGGTTTAATGGAAATATAGAGATATATTGGGCTTACTTGGGAAAGAGGAGGTAATAGCGGTAACAGGTCCGAACGTAACGCATCTAGTTCCAAACAACGAGCTAGTTCCCCGAGACGGTTAGCAGCTGCACGCCTGACCATAGGAGTATCGTCAGTGCAAAGCTGCTTAAAGGCGCGACGCAGTTCTGCACGGACAGCAGTAGAAGACTGTCGATAAATCACGCTAAACAGTCCACAAGCAGAAGTACGGCTAGTAAACCAGTCACCTGTTGCCAAACGCTTGATCAGTGGCAGAAAGTGAGTTTCCAAATCCTAAAAACAAAGACAAGCAGATGAGTCCCAATTAATGACTAGCATTGTATCTGTTTAAAGCACTATAGTATAAAATCATGATCTACACATATACTATATATGTAAAATATATAGACACTTCATTTCATTCTTTAGGAATCAACGGAGTCCATCATGATTGTAAACTAAAAGACCGATATCCCGATTCGTAGATACTACACTTCCATCGTGATCGAGATAAAAGTCAAAAAGCATAAGCTGTTAATTATTTATTTAAACACATAAATATTGGTACAAAGGGGCACAGAATACATATGCGCCACACAAGTCACTTAATTTGTGTGTGGGCTGTGATACTGTTTTTAAGGTTGACTAGATGAGAGAGGAATATTTACTGTTTAAGAAATAAAAACCAAACTTATTCGTTTTAGTGTTTTTTTTTAAGTTAAGATGGTGTTCCTCAAAACATTATGTATGAGTTTCAGAGTAAACTCCAGATGGGAAGTTTATTTCCCTCCATACAGTTTGATCATGCCATCATGCTTGAAGATACACCGTAAAGGTATATTGGTCCTTTTAATTGGTGTGAGCTCAAGTAACTCATTTAACAGTCAATCAACCTGCAAGAATATTACTCAATACTCATCCCAGCAAAAGTCACAATACTACATTACTTACATTTTTCTCCGAAGAGAATATAACTGCAATTCATTAAAAACAATAACCATACCTTTCAACTATGAGAATCGTCGAAACTAGGGGTTATAGGATGTTTAAGTTGCTGAGTTACATCATGGAAGGGTAGCTCAGTGGTTAGGCCACTCGAATTTCAACCGCTGAGTCGTAGTTTTGAACCAAAAACTTGGGACGGTTTATAACGAATCATCTAGACAGTAAACTACAGGACATATTATGACTACAATTGACAACTAAACCGGAGGCTTTAGAAGAGGGAGGTTTACTTGACAGCCCAGTGTAAGATAGTTGCACAGACGATAATAGCAGCAGGACATACTATTAACATGGGATCTACCACGAACGTGTATCGGTCTGTTATCACAGCTAAAGATCAATTTTGAGTTATTATTGATCACAATTCGGTATCAAGTCTGATGTAGATATGAGTAGCAACACCTGCAGACTTCAATATGTTGGAGGGATTTGAAGAAACAATAACGTGATTTGCATAAAAACGAGAATCCCAGCTATTTACTCCAATGAGATGCCACGGGGATATTCTATACATTTCTAAGCCCCCAAAAGAAACGCAATATTGATCTTAGTAGAGAATGAATATTCTGGAATTTGTAGGGAAGTCTTTTATAGAGAATGTTAAAAACCGAAAAACAGAGGCAATTCAGTATAAGGGAAAGTAAGAACATGATATCCAAGAAAACCCAGTCATTACCACAGTCTTAGATAACTGGAGCACAAATCGAGTTGTCAACCAAAGATATTAAGATGAAAAGTAGCTACAAAGTGACCAAATCGTAATCAAATGCCCTGAGTTAATTATTTGCATTACTACATTGTCACGAAGCGTCCAAAGAAGAAAAAGTAATTATGATACGATCCTTGGTTGGCGCAAACCTTAACCCAGTGACGCTGAACAGTTGTATTTCATCAGAAACCGGATAAACAAGTACGTGACTACATGGAGTTTAAGAAAGACGATTTCGGGGCAGTCCAAGCAGCACTACCTGTATGGAACTTATCCAGTTTGTGCCACACTTGTAAGCTTTTATAATTCTCCAGAAGATAGTTACGTGTTGTAGTGAGTATATCATGAGAAGGGTAAAGGTCCCGAATCTTGCTCACAGCCCTGAAGAAAATATTTGAGTTAAAATGGATATCGACACAACTATGAATGAACGTACGGTTATAAGAAAACTTGAAGATAACGTCAAAGCGTGGATCCAGTACAAAGAGGAAAAACTAACCTTGGATGAGAAACTAGGTGCAAGTGTTCGCAACGTCTCCACAGCTTTATCCCGCACAACCGTTTCTTCAGCAGATGCAAGTCCTTCCAATGGTGGTAGAAGACAATGGACATATTCAGGTCCTCCAACCAATGGAACAAAGTCTGCCAATTGTTTGGCCATTTCCCTAAGTACCTCATCCTCATCATATATGGTATCGGTTAGGAATGGAACCAATTCTGTTCTTGTCCTCTCTGGACCAAGTGCAAGAGCAATAGTAGTAAGTTTTCTGATGCTAGCCAGACGAGTTTGCATTTCCTCATTTCTTAACTCATCAATAAGAATAGCAATAGGAAAGAGACTCTCATCGGTCAAATCTGCAGTCATCTTTCTGAATCTACGGATGAACAAATCGGAGTTAAGATGAATGAGCATGGCTAACTCTAGTCAAATTTACTTTAACGGAAGCTATAACTTTAAACCCAGATTCCAAGAAAAAAACAACATAATAACCATAAAAACAAAAGCCGGTTACATCAACTGGTCATATATCTCTTATGAATAGCAAACAGTTTTAAGAGTGAACTTGCTTAATCATTTATCTAGATAATACGTTTATAGGTATTATGAGCAGCTTGATCAGTTGGCTAAAATCGCAATCGAAGTAGATTCCCAGGTTAATTAGCTCCCAAATAACTATCACTGTCCAAATAAAAGTATATAACCAACCAATTAATAATATTAAATCAGAGATCGTCTCTATCTTACCGTGTTGTTAATGTTACGACAGGGCTTTATGAAGAGGTACGAGATAATTCTAAGGCAGCTATCGTTGACCAATTGACAGGAAGCAGAAACACTAAAGGAGTAGATAATCATAAGCCATCTTAACTGGTCAAGACTCCTAACAAACAGGTTGATGTTAAAATATTAAGTACGAAAATGTGATTCAGTGTGACTGGAGTAATCAACGAAGCTAACTCAAAGTCGACTTACTTAACTATCATGCTGTGTTAAAGCATTGACACCCCTGTTTTGTCAAAATGACTTTGACGTAGGGCACGCTTCGGACACAAAGAGTACCTGGACCTTTTGAAATGACTCAAGACAATGTAATTCAACAACCTGGTCACTGAATCGCAGGTTTGACACCCTGAGGTCGGTTAGGGAAGTTAATCTTCATGGGTCCAATCACTATTTGGTAAAATTCTTGCTGGCGCAAAGAACAACGTAGAAGTACAAAGATACGGTGATGAACTGATTACTGTCTGTGACAGAAGTCACCATTAGTTTGTCAAAATTACCCATTGTATTTAAAAGCATATTTGTAGATAAACACAACAGGAATACTGTGCCAAGGTAGAAAGTTATGAGTAGTTAAGCTGAATGTCATTTGAAAAGCCCAACGTACGGAATTGTAGCATTTACTATGGTAATAGTAGGTAGTGTGAATTTTCGTCCTAAATGGTAAGAACCTTAGTATCCAGATCAGCTTACAGGATAAACTTCAATTACAAAAGTCGTTTCAAAAGACTGCGAATGACAAGCCTACCTGAGACAGAATAAAGACCCAGAAACTGGGGATTATTTGACTACGCTAAAACCTTTCAGAACTAATTAAAACAAATATATCCTAACTTATTGTCACATCAGATGGCTTATGACACAAATCATTAAGATTAATTTATTCGTAATTACTATCGACCATCTGATCAACTTGGGTTTTTTTATCACATTTAGGAGTGTTATAGATAGGCCATACGAAGCTAGGACCAAACACAAAGGCAAGTTGGAGCTGATCATTCCACTTGTGAACTGTCTAGACAATAAAAAAACGTGTAAAGGACAGGGCCTACCACCTCGGCAAACCTCATATAGGTGGGCTACCTGTCCATTCACATAAGGTTCATACAGAAAAACAGGACGAAGCTCACGCGTTCCAAATTGAAAGCATAAACTGCTTATATATGAACGCCGCGAGTCTACCAAACAAACTGGATGAACTACGTGAACTTAGCAACTCTAATAAGGCCCATCTGATAAGAATATCTGAAACCTGGATATCTTCTCAGTTCTCGGACCAAGAGTTAGCATTGCCTGGGATGACTTTGTTCCGCAACGACAGAAAAACAGGAATTGGGGGCGGAGTAGCCATATACATAAGCTCTTGCTTGGAGGTGCACCAGGTTTACAACCTCGAGTTTAACAATCTTGAGGAATCCATATGGTGCTCTGTAAGATTGTCTAGTACTTCCAGGTGTCTAGTCGGAGTCATTTACAGGAAGCCAACTGCCGACACCGAGTACGATAGTCGTATGCTGGAAGGACTATCCCGCTCTATCCGTCTCGGTTTCACACACATCCTGATTCTAGGGGACTTTAATCTCCCTAGAGTCAACTTCGCGGAACACACGTACACTGGAGGCGACAAGTCAACTGAAGCTCGGTTCTTCAACCTTATCGATAACTTGGGCTTATATGAAAATGTGAGGTCGGCAACTCGTTGGAGAAACGGTCAGACACCATCGCGCTTAGACTGTGAATTCACTAACGAAGAATTCCTAGTCGACAACCTCTCAATCCTGGCTCCTCTGGGAAAAAGCGATAATGCCGTCATAGCCTTCAGTTTTGTCATCAAAACTAAGCTAAGGTATCCCAACAATAATTTGCGTTGGAATTTTAAACGGCTGAATGTGCCAGCTCTACATGACTATCTACAACAGGTGGTTTGGGATGTTCACCCTCAAATCGATGTGGATGGTCATTGGGACTTCTTACTGCACACGCTCTTATGTGCTACAGACCATTCAGTTCCTCAAACGGTTCCCAAAAGCTTCAAGCCACCTACAGTAATCAAGAACCGTACCCTTCGCCTCGTAAGCCGCAAACGGCACTGTTGGGCGGAATACAAACGAACTAATAACGATGGAGCGTATAGGCAATACAAACATATCAGGAACACATGCACGAAGGCTATAAGAGAAGACAGGCTTCAGTACCAAACAAAGCTTATGGACAAATTCGCCTCTAACCCTAGAAGCCTATTCCGTTATGCAGCCTCTCTTCGTCAATCCAAAACAGGAGTTTCTCAACTGCTAGGTCTTAACGGCCCGACCAACAACGATGGCGACGCCGCTAACCTTCTGGCAGCCCATTACTCCCAAACATTTCAACCGGCTGACATCAACTTTATTGACGACACTTTCATCTCCAACTCCACAGGACTTTCCGAAGTGGACCTAAGCGCTGACTTGGTGTTCCGGAAATTGCAGCACTTAAGACTTGACACTTCTCCTGTCCCGGACATGGTTCATCCTGCCATACTGAGGGAGGCAGCCTCAATCCTGGCAACGCCGCTTAGCGTGATGTTTTCACACTCGCTTAGCCGAGGCAAATTACCAGAAAACTGGAAGTTGGCTCACATCACACCAATTTTCAAAGGTGGTCGACGCAATGAACCTTCAAGTTATCGGCCGGTGGCTCTTCTGTCATTACCTTCAAAACTCATGGAGTCCCTGATATGCGACGGTTTAAATGACTATCTACGGTCCTTACATTTCTTCTCACCCCAACAGCATGGTTTCAGGAAGGGTTACTCTTGTATAACCAACCTGCTGACTGCGGTGGACAAATGGACAAGCATCCTCGATTGCAAGGGAAAGATTGACGTCATTTACCTTGATTTCTCAAAAGCTTTTGATAAGGTTAACCACTTGTGTCTTATCAACATGCTCAAACGACTAGGTATCAAACCACCTCTAATCGATTGGCTTACTTCATACCTAAAAAATCGACACTTTAAGGTTAGGGTTAATTTCACTTTATTTCAGGCTATGGAATGTCCTAGTGGGGTCCCCCAGGGCTCAGTACTAGGGCCTCTTCTCTTCTTGATCTACATAAATGATCTTCCTCAACAGGTAACGTCAGACTTATTACCTTTTGCCGACGACGTGAAACTTTGGAGAGAGATACGCAACCAAGGCACTTCAGGAGGATCTGACGCGACTTCAATGTTGGGCAGACGATAACGGACTTACCTTTAACACTTCAAAGTGTAAAGTAGTCCATCTGCGACATGTCGCAAACTACAGTTGCAACTTAGGAAACTCCTCTCTAGTAATATCCCAAGTCGAAAAAGATTTAGGAGTCCTGGTGCCCCATGACTTAAAGTCTTACGCTAACTGTGACAAAAATGCCTTCCGAGCAAACCTTGCACTGGTAACGTTGAAGCGCATTTTTGGACAGTTTGACGGACGAACTTTCCATACAATCTTCAATAGTTTCATCCGTCCCCATTTAGAGTACGGAAACTTTGTATTTCCCTTTTCAGTTCAAAAGGATGAGGACACCCTGGAGCGTATCCAACGGCGGGCCACGAAATCAGTTCGAGGAATCAAATTTAAACCTTACGAAGAGCACCTTCATTCACTTGACCTTTACCCATTAGAGTTTAGACGTCTTAGATGTGACCTAATGGCTTATAGTATCCTTAACACTTTTGCACATCCTCTCAAACACCTACTTAAGCTTAGTTCCAACACTAACCTAAGAGGTAACACCCAAAAGCTGGAGACACAACATAGCAGAACGGACTGTATACACAACGTTTACTCCTTAAGAGTTGTCAAATGCTATAATTCGCTGCTGACTGAACTAGTGCAAGCGACTTCCCAGGAGTCATTTAAGAGGAGACTTGACCTATTCTTAAGGACTAAGGATGATATCTTACTATGAGTTACCAATTTCTTTTTTTCTAATCTATTATAGTTAATATACCTAGGTCCCTGCCTTGGAGTATTGGTGATCCACTGCTACTAGGCACGGAAACCCGTTAAATGGAAGCTTCCTCTATTCCGTCCACAACCATTTGAACCATTTGAACCATTTAGATGTCAATAATAGAGTTGTTTCAGTTTCAGTTTCAGTTTGGGAAGGACAGGAGGCTTGATCACCTGCGTTAGCCCTGGCAATGGTGGTCACTCAGTTGATCCAACTTTCTTTTGAATGAATCGACGGATAAAGCCTCAACCACGTGCTGAGGTAATGAATACCGCTCGTTGATGATTCGATGGGAACGTCGATAGTCAGCTGAAAAGTAATTTGTTCTTGGCTTGTGAACTTTTTTGGAGTGTCCTCGTAAATTCTCGGTTTTGGAAGACAAGAAAAATGAGGGCATATCAGGTGCAAATTTGGCACTAAGCAATTTGAAAACTGCAATCAGGTCGCCTCTAGTTCTGCGATATGACAATGGGAAAAGGTTTAGCTTGGCCAGTCGAGCTTCATACGGAAGCTTCGCTATTCCGGGAATCAACTTAGTTGCCGTTTTCTGAACATTTTCCAGAAGCTCACTGTCTTTTTTTAAGCAGGGGCTGGCCGCTTGTATCCAGTACTCAAGTTTAGGACGTACGAACACTGTATACAAAGTCAAAAACGTCTTGGCGTCGACATGACTATAAGCCCTGCGTATTGACCATAACGTTCTAAAACCTTTGGCGGCTATTGCACGGCAGTGTGCAGTAGTCTTTAAGTCTTGGCTAACGATGACTCCTAAGTCATTATATGTCTGGACGACAGGTAGCTCAGTGTAATTCATCGTGTATGTATCTGTACCTTGGTGACCGATATGCATCACAACACACTTGGAAGTATTTATCGGCAACTGCCAGGTTTGAGACCATTCAGATAATTTCTTCAGGTCATTTTGGAGTTCTAAGCTATCACCCTCACATCGTATCGTTCTCCATATCTTGACATCGTCAGCATATAGCAAGACCAATGATGATAGGAGACGAGGAAAGTCATTAACATGCAAGAGGAATAGCACTGGCCCCAAAACTGTACCCTGGGGCACTCCACTAAGCACAGTTTCCCAGCTAGATAACTTTGAGTTCACCCTTACTCTTTGTTGACGCCCAACTAAGAAGTCTTTTATCCACATCAATAAATTGCCTCCAATCCCGACTTTTCTTAACTTATATAACAGCCGGTTGTGCGGAACTTTGCCAAAAGCTTTGTTGAAATCAATGAAGGCGACGTCTGCAGGTAGATTTTGGCCCTTAAGAGCGCACCAGCTTTCACGAGCCACTAATAAGTTAGTGAGACAAGAGTAACCTATTCTGAAACCGTGCTGCTTCTCCGAGAGGATCGGGTTTTTATCGAGATACTTAAACAGCTCCTTCCGAATAATCTTTTCTATGATTTTAACAGCCACACTAGTTAGGCTAACGGGGCGGTAATCCTCAGGTTTGTGTTTCGTACCTGTTTTGGAGACAGGACTTACTATGGCGTATTTTCAGTCTTTGGGTAAACGACCCTGCGTTCCGAATAGGTTAAAGCATATACTTAAAGGGTTCGCAACGAAGTTAGATAATTCCTTCAGTAGCCTTGGATGCAATTCATCGGGCCCCGTGGATTTACCTATGTCAAGCTTAGTTAGTAGGCCAAAGACATCGAGTTCTTTAATGGTCACGCTATCCAGTGTATGTGTGGGGGGATTTGTATGCGCCGATGGGAAGGGTGCCTCTATGGTGTATACATTGCTAAAGTAGTTTGAGAACACTTGAGCCTTACCAAAGTCGTCCTCCACTAGTGACGCGGTAGCACTGTCTCCCCAGAGAGCAGGAA